TTGCCGAACGTGCTATTGGCGGACCACAAACGGGGACATGAACCAACTTAATTTACCAAACAAAATATAGTAATTGACAAAAACTAAATCAAAAGCAAATTGAAACTTTTGTTTATCCAAGGAAAGTATCTTCATTAATATTATAATGAGAAAAGTTTTGATTTCTTATTTATTGTAGATAAACGATAGGCTCAACAACAGAGATCTGCAAGGGTAACCTCTTACCCTTTCAAACAGTTCAATTTATTGAGTTAGGTTTTAAACCTTACATATAAAGTTTACTTTTTATATCTGGATGGAAATAATAATAATCGTTAAGACGTTAATCCGTATGGAATTCATCTTATTAAAAGACTAACTTATCGAATTATTGGTTTAACCGATTAACCCGTAAATATTATTCACGAAACCACTCAAATGAATTTCGAATTTATTTTACCAGTAACGTTATACTGTTTTATTTTTAATAATAAGGCGAAACAAAATTCGTACGTTTATATATTTTATATTAAAACATAAGCAACTCGCATACCGGTTTTATATCCTTAAAAACATCTACTTCTTTAAGTAAAAATGCTGACAAAAATCTTAAACCACTTTTTAATACCCACAAAGTCTTGTATTTTAAAAATGTCAGCGAATAATCACGTATGTTAATATAGGACCAAGTATAGATAGGGTAATTGCAGAAGAACGTTCCTCTTCGGTCATTACCACTACACGTGTAGATCAGTTGGCCTAAAGGTCAAAGAGTACTTCCTGGTTTTGATAGTACTGAGTTTATAATGGCAACTTCAAAAATATAAGTTGGGTTTTTACTCAGCTGAACTAATAATATTCGTTAAAGTATATGATAATGAAATAAAAGATATTTTAAAAATATTTTATGTGTGAATCTTTTTTAAAGTCTGTTAATATTTACTAGTTGGTATCTTCAAAACTACTAAAGTTATTTTAATGAAACTTATACTGTTCTCGAAGTTGAAAGCTGATAAATCAATTAAAAATTGAATTATTGCAATACTGTTTCTAGTTTGCAATGGATACGGATGTATGTTTGTTTATAAACACAAACATACATACACTTACCAAATTTGACAAATGTGTATAGAATAGTTATTCCCAAACTATGGATCGCGAATAATAAATTGCGTGCCTAATAGGTGATTGCCATTTTATAAGACATATATATATACCCTCTTATTCTCTCAGGCAGCTAAGACCCTAGTATGAAAAGTTTTGTTAGATAGATCGGAGCCCAATCAACTTTGGAAACAATTAGCTTTTATACTAGAGCATGTGAGTCAGGCTTCGAAATCCCATCTGTCTAATTATACGAGGGTCAAACTGAAAGTTCTTAGAACTGGCCACTTATAAACAATATAATAAAAAAATAATTCTAAAATTTGAAAATATAACTCTTTGCCAATATTACTGAGTATATATTTCATTCATTTATCATTTGTTTTACGATTTGGCGGCAAATTGAAAATTGTCTGTGTCACGTCATCATGAATTTAACACGAGAAAATTTTCGTGCAATGATTTTTTATGACTTTCGATGTCATTTAAGTCAACAAGAAAGTTATGATAGACTACGATTGGCCTTTCACGATGAAGCCCCATCTCGTGCGACTGTTTACAACTGGTTTAATGAGTTTAAACGTGGTCGCACTAATCTCACTGATGATTTACGTGAGGGACGGCCTTCTACGGCGACGACTGAAGATAACATCTGTGTTGTGCGGCGTATGATAGAGACTGACAAAAGAGTGACCTATCAACAGATTCGGACAAGCTTAGGCATCGGTATGAGTCAAGTGCACAAAATCCTCCACGAACATTTAGCGGTCAGGAAGCTTTGCGCCCGGTGGATACCTCATAATTTGACTGAGGCTCAAAAACTCCATCGTGTGGATTGGTGTCGTAAAATGATTGAAAGATTTAACGGAGGTGACTCAAATGCTGTGTTCGACATACTAACAGGTGACGAAAGCTGGATTTACTGTTATGATCCTAAAACCAAAAGACAATCTGCTCAGTGGGTGTTTCCTTTCGAGGAGTTGCCAACTAAAGTGAAGAGAGATCGAAGTGCGGGAAAAAAAATGGTGGCCTCGTTCTTTGGAAGGATAGGTCATTTTGCAACAATTGTGTTAGAGGATCAAAAAACAGTTTCTTCAGAATGGTACACTACCAATTGTTTGCCACTTGTCTTGGAAAAAGTTCGAGAGAAACGACCTCGCAGTAGGATCCTCCTTCACCACGACAACGCCTCGTCGCACTCCGCCAAGCGAACGATCGACTATTTGGCGACATCAAACGTTGAATTACTGGGTCACCCGCCGTATAGCCCCGACCTCGCGCCTTGTGATTTTAATTTATTTCCAAAAATTAAAGAAAAACTTAAAGGAAAGCGGTTTATGAATGCTGAAGAAGCGGTGGCTGCGTATCGCGATACCATTGAAGAGACCCCTAAGGACGAGTGGGCAAAGTGCTTTTCCCAGTGGTTCCATCGCATGCAGCGGTGTATTGACGTGAATGGACAATATTTTGAAAAGATATAATAAAACTAATAACTGGCTAATGTAATCAGTTTTTGATTTTCTAAGAACTTTCAGTTTGACCCTCGTATAATATTATTATTATAATTTTTAATGCACACAAAAAACATACATAGCAGTGTCAAGTGAAAGTAACCACAAAGGCGGGCTTATCTCTACTAGTGATCTCTTCCAGGAAACCAAGACGTTGTGGAAGAGTAAGATGTATGTTTATAATGTTACTTAAAATTATATTTCATAAATTTAAATAACTTTCTATATTGAAATTTGTTTGATTCTATTATTTGTACAACGAGTAAAGAGACACCGACGATGGGTTACCGCGACCTTCTCTATCTATTTACCCTTCTACGAATAAACAACCAAGTTTACAGAATCCCCTTTCCAATATTTATATACATCAAATTGATAGCCTCATCCCGTTTTTGAAAGTCCGATAAAATTTAAACTAATACATTTTCATTGATAAAACTAAATAAAATCATAGAATTAGAATATTTTCAATAACCAGACGGCGAACGAACGAAAATTTTGAAAATATCGGATCAATGTTATAATTTTATTAATATCACAGAAATACATTTTTTTTTCTGTGCTCAAAATCACATTCGAGAAAATTATCTGTGCATCAGAGGCAGTGTTAGCTCCTACCTCCGTTCAATCATAAATTATCCAAAAATGAGTTTCTTTGGAGTCATATCAGCATTTCGAAAATATGCCAAGTTTCGTTTTCAGAGGAACAGGGAAGTCAAATACTCTTACTTCTCTTTCTCAGGTCCTGGTGTGATGAAGAATGCCAGTATTAGTTCCCAGATGATGCCTCTACTGCAGATCGTGGCACACAGGTTGGACGCTAAGAAGCAGATGATTAGAACAGCCATGCCAATCACAAATGCTATCAAAATGGTTGCCAAGGATAAAACAATAGGTTAGTTGATCACCATTGTTAAAATCAAAATAATCTTTATTAAAATAAATTTATTTAGTAAAATTTTAAATCATCCAATATTTTTACCTCCCACTTATCCGCCAGATGAGACAGCCCAACTCTCTAGCCATGATTCTAGCTATAGAATACGATATCTTAGCGAATATTATTACGATATTTCGTTTTCTTTTACTACTTTGACAAGTCTTTTGGTGGATAAATTTGGGATAAATGCCCAATGATATTTCACTGTTGGCAAATTCAAATTCATCATTCGATCGTCGTCATTAAAGTACATGTCAAAAAATGAAAAGAAATAGCACTATATTACATCACTAAGATGTAGAGGCTAGAGTTATAGCTAGATGAGTTAGGCTGTCGCTTTCTAGGGTTCCGACCACCTAACTCTCTAGCCATGACTAGCCATAGGATACGTCATTCTAGGGATGTTATGGCGATGTTTTCTTTCAATTTATTATTTTGGCTTTTAGTGGATAAACGTAGGTAACTGCTGTCATTCATAATCATCATTCTATATCATCGGTTCTTAGAATTAAATAAAAAAGCTATAAAATGAAAAGAAATATCACCATTATATCGCTATGATGTCATATCCTATGGCAAGAATGGAATTAGGCGGTCGCACCCCAGAAATTGATTTGGTTGGTAAGGGGAAGACCAAGCGGAAGAAACTCGCTAGCTATGACAGAAGTAACGAAATTTCCACAAACCAAATTATGTGTAACAAACAACTGAATATATTACTATGAGGTCACTTTCCATTACAATATTAAAAAAGGAGCAGATCAGTTCTACTCGACTACTTACTTTTTAAAATGTTAGAAGAACGAGGAACATAAATCAGTGGTTAAATAAATTCAGATTTCGTGGTAATATAAAAATGATTATTTCAAAGATGAGCGAAACCTGTAAACGTATTGTTTATGTTAGCAGTGTTATTCCTGTAATAAGATCGTCGTTGAAGTCGACGTCGAGCACAGCGCTGTCAGTGTAATTAAGTCCATAATATTTATAGATTGACTATGTAGTTTGATAGTTAATTTTATTTTATCTCCGTCAGCTAGATTATTGAAAACCCAATACACGTATTTTATATTTATTTGCGTAATCAAGGAATGTCGCATGATGTTATAACTTCGTACATTTTCTACATAATTGGTGACAGACGAGCCCTCACTCCTCAACGTTAATTCCTATTCAATGCCATTTCTTGTAAAAAAAAATCTAATAGTTAGTTACTAGAAAAATATTAGATACGTATTTTAATACGCATACTAAATAGAATTTCTCTTTTTGTACCCAGGCATCATCCATATCTCTGATATATTCACCCCCCCCCCCCAACACACACACACAAACACCTGTAATTTTACCTGTGGAGGCCTGGTGTTCTGTAGAACAGGATTATCTTAGTATCGGTCACCAGTCTCCGTCCTTGAATAGAATAAGAATAAAATGACACTTGTAACTGTGTAACAGGCGGAGAAATAAATAAAATATTATTACTATAACATTATATTTAATGATTATTATCCGCGTTGATTGTTCTGAACAATGTTTTTGAATAACCCACCTAATATGGATATTAAATGAAACCACATAAAAGCTTGTTTTTTTTTTTCTAAAAAAAGCTATTAATTTTTTTGTTTACATTCCTATCCAGATATCAAGAATAAGAAGACTGTATTCTACATGGTCGGCTTTATTGACAGCTCGTTGTATCCCCAGTCTCAAGCTGTTGCCAACTCGTATGTGAAGAGAGGTTACAATGTGTTCGTGACAGAAACCCTCGCGTTACTCTCTCATATATATCCTAAGTAAGTGTCACTCAAGATATATTACTGTCAGAATAGTCTTACCGTCCTAACCTACATCATACCTTTAACGTTTATCTGATGAATTTACCTGGTAAGAAATATAGATAAATAAATATTAGGCTTACATCCAGTTGCACAATTATCCATTATAGGTTCGATGACGATTTTAAAGTCTATATATGTTCTAAATTTGAAGATTTGTACCGGTTAAGTCACTTTAAACTTATGACATTGTTAACGGTAATGTACTTATCCTATTATAAATGTGAAAGTTTCTTTGTTTGGATGTTTGTCCGTCAATCACGCCGAAATTACTGATTTTGATGAAATTTTGTATACAAATAGGGTATTAGCTGATTTCGCGCGGTGCATGGCCTTCGGGCCGATCCCGCGCATCGCCTTCCATGAGAGGGACATCGCTGAGTTTTAGTGGGTAAACTCCTGTTTCTTGTCTAGCCCCCTCGGGGGTGGGGCCACAGGAGGAGTCCCACATCACCCGTGGAGCCCGCGCAGGGTGAAGCGGGTATGCGTAACGCATTTCTCAGCAACAAAAAAAAAAAAAAAAAAAAATAAAAAAAAAATAAAAAAAAAATAAAAGGTATTAGCTGATTTAGATAATAGGATACTTTTTATCCCGCTAAATAGTTCCCTATTATGGATATCTGAAACAATGAAGATACTCAAAGTCACCTCAGAGACGACAACGTCTGAACCGAGCGTGAGGGCCACTCAGCCATGAAGGTGGCTTTTATTTATTAAAAGAGCTTTGAACGATTTATCTTTGGCTTCACTCCTGAGATACCGATCTTTCTTTAGGACACTATCATTTAGGGAGGAGGGGCCATTTATCACGTTGACCCAGTCTGGAATGGAATGATTTTGGTATCTAATTTGTCGAGCAGTAAGAAGAAAAAAAATTGTTGGTCACCCATCTAATGACATGCCATTTTGAAAGTTGCTTAACTTTAACAATCTCAAACCGAACGAATAATTCAATGCTCAGTTTAAAAAAAGAAAAGACTTCTTTCAATAGTGTCGCGCGGCCGGTGCGTGCGGGCGTGCTGAAGGAAGTCAAACTTTATACTGAGCGATACAGTCATTGACCCATGTAGATAAGTAAAACTTAACTCTGACATTGGCCCTGCGATTGCGAACGTCGAAGTTAAAACTCCTAAAGAAAATGTTTAGATACGAACTTCTTGGAAACACGCAGTTTAATCAGATTGCATCTGAATCCATCAAGCTGATTTAGAAGTAAAACAAAATAAATGCAAAAGGGGTTTAGAACTTCGTTTTTTTTCACAGATAACACAAATAACAACACTAGTATTATAGTTATAATCTAAGTATTAAGTTTGTTAGATTAGATGTTGTGCTGTGGACACACAATTTAAGCTAACAAACTTAAGGATTTCATTCTTCATCTGTTTTGGTATGATTAAAAGTTCTCGAAAACGAAGTCATGGACGCAAGCTAGTTAACAATATAAATTAATTATGTATAACGAGCTACTGATTTTATGAGGCTATGATAGTCACTTTCCACTATAACATTAAAACACAGAATAAAAAAAATCTGTGGTGTTATAATGCTTACAAAGTAAGTAACATAATAATTTTGAAATATTATTTAGCAAAAAAAATTACGTCTATAACATTTTGACACTCAATATACTCATTAATTTCTATTTGTTTTCAATAGCAAATATTATTTTAAGAAAACCCTTCAAAGCTTTATAGAAATGTTGGATAGTTATATAATAGTTATTTAAGATACGAGTGCGGAAAGTAAGGCTTTACGAATAAGGGCCAAATTGGCACGAATTCGAAAAACCTTTTACGCTCAAGTTTCTTACAACATTTTTCAATGCTTTTTGCGAGGAAATAAAACAAATATATAGGTTAATAAAACTAAGTATGTATTAAAGGTAAAAATTATTTGTTAAAATTAAACGTGATATTTGAACATGTTTTCGTGTCATACATTTTTATTTGAAAATATCCGTTCTAGGCTCCTTGAAATACTTTTGCCTCTAAAGTTTGACATATTTTCATGAATTTTTTTTAAATTTCTTTGGTGCTCGGCCATAGAAAATTAAAAAAAATACTTTACGGCACGTGTGCAGTAAAGGATTTCAGTACATTTTTATTTAACATGCGTTTAAAGACTCACTTTCGGTGTTTACAATGGATTAAAAAAATAGCGCTTTATGAGCAACTGCATTGAAAAGATATTAAAATAATTTTATTTGGAATATTTCTGGTTGAGATTACGTAAAACTTATATAAATATATTTTTATTTCGACGTGTACATAATTAATTTATGTTATTTTTGTATATACATAAAATACTAATTATTAGTTGTTTATTCCTTTTGTAATCTCCACATTCATTACTTTTATATTTAAAAACAATTATAAGTGTTACTATGAAAAATTCAAAGAACTTGACTTGAAAGGATCTCCGATCCGATAATAGTCTATTGCGAAAGTTATTTAACTTCGTCACCACTACTCCTAACTATTACACTTTCAATTACTATAATTATTTCTATTTAAACACCAAAACCGTTCTTCGTTTCAGATCCGTTCGCTTAGCTCGAGTCATTGGCAAAAAAGTCGGAGAATTCCTAGTCAAGTTGACCGAACAAGGACTGTCAGCTGATAATCTTGAGCTGGTCGGCTTGAGTCTTGGTGCTCATATCATGGCGTATGCATCTAAGCATTTATATGCAGTCACTGGAAAGAAACCTTCACGAATCACCGGTTTAGACCCAGCCGGTCCATGTTTCAGATCTCTCCCTGCTAAATACAAACTAGACTCTTCTGATGCCGTTCGAGTAGACGTCGTACACACCAATATCGACGGATTCGGTATGGCTGAGCCATTAGGCCATGTAGATTTTTACGTTAACGGTGGTGAGTTCCAACCTGGTGATATAACTTTTATACCCTGCTTGATAATCTGCAGTCACCTCAAATCTGTTATATACTGGTGGCAGGCATTGGAACATCCCACTAAGTTTATAGGTGTTAAATGCGATTCTGTCCAAGACGCAAGACTAGCTCGTTGTTACAACAATACTGAGACCAATTATCTAGGTCCGAAGACTAATTTTAGTACTCCAGGTATATTTTACTTATCTACCACTAATGTGTTCCCTTACTTCAGGGGGAAAGCAGGTTTGGTACCAGAGAACGAGATCTATACCTCTTTTATAAGAAAAATTAATGATGAGGATAATTTTGTTGTGTAATATTTTTATTGCACGCAACATTGTGGTATTAGACGTTTTGTATGACAGTAAGGAGTATAGGTACACTGTTTTTTCAAAAATATATCAATTTTGTTTTTATTATTATGTATAATGGTACGGTTTACAGAGGTATTTATACAATTTTAATGCACTCGCCACAACGCACATGGATTAAAGGCAAAAGCATTATGAAAGGGAGGCTTAATTTTTTAATAGCGATCTTTTAAATGCGATCTGGGATATTTCTAGCTGTGATAACTCTCTAATGGTTAACTAAAAAGTAAGCTTTCTTGATAATATTCAACTGAGAGTGACTTGGTAGGTCTTAGAGTTTAATTCTCTAAGTGGCAGGTAGTTAATACTTCCATGAAAGTATTAACTAGTAATTAAGCCTAGTAATTACTAATCTTCAGGATCAAGGAGTAGCTTGATGGCGTAGTGGATAAGCGGCCCACGATCATCGTTGTTAATCAACTTTCAACTTTCGTAAGGATCGGTAATGGGATGATGGATCAAAAATTATTACCCGCATGGGCCATCGTGGAGTGTTATGACCCAACTTCCATAATCATTCACCAATTCATCCTAAAGCCTACCCTGAATACCCTACGAATGGAACCGAATCAAATCGAATAGGGACATTGGGCCATCACCCACCACGCGGCCTCGGATTAGTGGGTATTAACGACTGCATATGTAGCCGGGACCAACGGCTTAACATGGTTACCGAAGAATTAGGAGGTCGATATAATATATTTTAAGTCACATATGGCTGGCCCTAGCAAACGTTGCTTAACATCAGTATCGCAGACCGAACGCGCTACTACTGCGCCTTCAAGCTCCTCTCCTCAGGCAGAATAGGATAAAAATATCAACCTAATAGGTATAAAAAGACAAACTTAAAAAAAAGCTGTTGTATTTATTACTAAACAATAAAATTAATAGGGACGATGACTGGGTAAAATAAAAATGCAATTCTATTTAGTCCGTCAGTCAGATTATAGAAAAATATTAGATACGTATATTTTTTTTTACTTCAATTTAACAATAAATAGTATAGATAACAGGCATTAAAGTTGAGGAGTGGGGGCTCGTTACGTCACAGTTGAGTAGAAAACGTACTCTAACGTGACGTCATGCGAAATTTCAACTCAATGTAACGCCGTAATTTTATGATTACGAAAAAAAATAAAAAAATACGTGTTTAATATTTTTTAACACCCTACCTGACGGACAAACAAACAAAAATTAGTCATCATCCCTATTGTGTGTGTGATTTAGATTGTAAGTGTGACCAAATGTTAATTTATAAATATTAAATTTATAAAATAACGCTATATATTTATTTTCTTAGGCCTACCTTTTTTTGGACAACCTATCTGCGCTAGGGGGGAGCAAACACTAACCTTTATTACTGTTTGAAATAGGTTTTAGTATTTAATCAAATTTCTATGCTGTGGCTGTGGCAGCATTGGGCTCGACATCTAGTTAGAATTAGATGCTGTATTTATAACAGACCATTATAGAAGTTTCGTTTTTTGCACTTTTAAACAGTGAACGTATTAATTTCTTCAACCGAATAAAATGACATCATTTGTTTTTGTGGTGCGTTTCGTTCTGACTTCAGATAAGATTATGAAATTGCCCCCTAAAACGTTGTTTATTGAATGGCTCTAACAAAAAATATATCTACTTAAAATAAACGTACAATAAACACCAATGAATACTTATCCCAAAAAATATCATATCCTACCGACATATGTTTGTTATTGTCGTAAATTAAAACGAGCGATAAAAAGTCGGCTTTAATTAAAGGAGCATGTTTTAATTCAACAAGCAGCGCCGGGGGACATGAGACCACTCCGCCATCAGATTACCCGTAAATGGGGAGCTTGTTGGGAGTACGGCAAGGATGTATTGACACTGACTAGCTGTGGCACCGTCCAAATAAAAATTATTATGTTTCTTTTAACAAGTTTTTACCGGAGATTTTTAACTTGTACCAGAGTTCTTTCTAATGACATCAAAGTATGAGTTTTATATGAAATAACTAATAATTATATCTTTTTCATATTATCACTCAATATTTTGTAACAAAGTTAATCATATTATACTTTTGAATAGCGTTTGAATTGAAACAATATTTACTCCAAAGAACTAACTAAATTCTTGTGCGTTAAATAAGTAATGAGTAAGTATATAAAAAAATAAAGAAACTACAAAAATTTATGTCACTAGATGGCAGCACAAATTGTTGGATCTAAATGTCAATTCATGACGTTAAACCAAAGAGAATAGAATTGTAAGTGTTGTTATGGATCTGATAACTCGGATTAATATCGAGTTGAAATTTTACTAGTTCGAGGTATGCAAACGCAACTCGATTAATACAAAGTAGTCTTTGAATAAATATATTTTTTAATTGTATAAAGAAAAATGGAAACTAAAAAAAATAGAAGGTTTTTTTAAATTTATGGAAATCAATTGAATAAATTTCCATAAATTTTACATAATTTGACATAATTTAACATTTAGCTACGGTATAAAATAATATTACCGGCAAAGTTTTTATAAAAAAAAAAACTTATGCCATAGTAGGTCTAGGAATTTTTCATTATAATATTTAACAAAAGTTCTGAAAACAATAACAACTAGGTAAGTTGGTTTTATTGTTAGTAGTTTGTTGAACTTACAATTCCGTTTACAAATATACTATGTATTCGTACAAAATAAGATGACTCCTGGCTAAAATGACGTCTGTGCAAAGATTAACGTGCAAATAACTAGTGCTTTCGAAATTAAGACTTTAAAAAACAATGATCAGTTATTTAATCTTATATTCATAATTAAAACATCTTAATAAACATTAAGCAATCAACAAGAAACGTCTGTTCTAGACGAACAGCAAGGTTATAACTTTAAATTTCAAAATCACAAAGACACGTACAGTTATTATACTATTGCTACTGATCTTGCATGTCGACGGCGGACGTCGAGCCATGTGTTAAGTTAATTCGTTCGGTAGGTATGTGCTTTTTGGTTCTTACAATAATACTGTTCATAATAGATTGACTTCCTACACAACCTACTCCAGAAATCAGTTTTATTGAAATATATTATTTACTAAGTACCTAGAGTAGTCATGCTCTCTTAAAATCTCTGCGGTGGTGTCGTGTGCGTTAGGTCGTTACGTTCCCTCAAATATAGTATAAATGAGTTGTATAGTTGAAATTAAAAAAGCAGCCCTTGAGTTTCTTGCCGATCTTTGTCCGTACGAGATCTCCCGCCTTAGTTTTGCCAACCATCGGGAAAGTTTTTGACTTTCACAGCCTAGACTGAATTGATTTTGATATTTATATTAATATCATTCGTTTTGTGGATGCATAATGACACATACAAATACAAGCTGAATTCTGCGCTCTGCTTTTTGTTCTTAATTCCAAGCCTGAATTCGGATGAAAGTAACGATTAACCAAATATATAATGTATAAACCAAACATCGTTCCTTTACACGTAATATAATAAACAACTTAAACTTACGATTAAAATAAATTTAAATTAATTTGCAAGTTAGATATTATATGAAACACAAAACGATGTCATATTTATTAATTTTCGATACTCAATTAACTTTTATTACGTTAGAAACAAAATCTGAATGAATATCATAAACAAAATCCAAACATCGCCAGTGACATCTAGTATGATTTCAAGAACTAATTTTTATTTTTTAGGTTCCCTAGGGATGTAAAAAACGGGTGAATCAGTTAGAAAATATGTAAAAAAGTACTGACGCCGGAACCCTAAACATTCGCTGCATAAATGAATTGGTATTAAGAGAGCTTGTTTCGCGGCGCGCGTCTCTGTGATGAAAAACTGGCAATTTTTCACGTCCACTCCTCGTCACGGCTGAATAATAAATATTACTCATATTGAAATGCTTACTCGACAAAATACTTCGATTTAAGTATTTTAGTATATTGGTTTAAGCTTTTGATCCATGCGTGTGGTAATGTAATGATGATATTTATGATCATAAAAGATAATGTAAATTTAGTAACTCAAACTTATAGTAATATATGCATCTAACGCTTGCGTTGGACAGTAAAAATCAGTTTGGCTTTAGCAGAGGTAAATGTACCAGAGACGCTGGAATTGCACTTCTGAGGCATATCTATGATGCTTGGGAGAATAAACAAGATGCTATTGGCATTTTTTGCAATCTGTCAAAAGCATTCGACTGCGTTAGTCATGAAACACTGTTGGGGAAATTAGAGCATTATGGTGTGACGAAAAATTCACTTAATCTAATAAAATCATATCTTTCTGTTAGAATTCAAAAAATAGTAATTAATGAGGCGAAATCTGAAGGGGCACCAGTTACTATGGGCGTACCTCAGGGATCGGTATTAGGACCATTGCTTTTTCTAATTTATATTAATGATCTTCCTCACTTTTGTGCGAGACAGTATTATTTCCAGATGACACCTCTTTACTGTTTAAAGTTGAGAAGGGTAATGATTGTTTTGACGATGTATATAATGCTCCCGACAATGTTCGACAGTGGTATGATAATAATAATTTAAAGCTCAATTCAAATAAAACGAAATGCATAAAGTTTTGCATTACCTAATGTGAGGCATGTCAGTACACTTATAAATGTAAATAGAGAAAAAGTTGAGTTAGTAGAATCGACAAAGTTCCTTGGTACTACACTAGATTCCCGGCTGCAATGGGATCCTCATATTAATAGCTTGTCAAGTAGACTGAATTCTGCAGCTTTTGCTGTTAAGAAAATTAGACTCTTGACAACTGTTGAAACGGCAAGATTGGTATATTTTAGTTATTTTCACAGTGTAAATGACGTATGGTATTGTTGTGGGTTCCGCGGCTAGCATTCAGGATATTTTTATTCTAAATTGCTATGTTCAATAAAGTTCCACAAAATGTAATCGACTAACCCATAAATAAATTTCAAATTCATGTAAAGAATATACTTATGAGTAAAGGCTATTATAAAGTTGATGATTATTTTAAGGACCGCAATGCATGGAATTAATAGCCTTCGCTCTGTTCTATAACGACTAATTATAGGTATGTACCAACCTATGTCCTACAGACTTTGAAACTTGTATTTATTATTGTTCAATATATGTATTATTTTGGTAATGACATGATTTATCTAAATGTCATTACTTATGATAAAAAGCTGGTAAGTTTCTTTCGCTTGTTCTTCTTGTCAACTAAAAGACGTCCTGAACAAGTGGTAGGGGAAAAAATATTTTTGGACGATTCAAAAGTTCTTGTAACAAGCTTACTTGAATAAAAACATTTTCATTTCATTTCAGTAGTAGTAACAATTAACCTCAGCTATATCGTTTATTCAATATTTTCCACAAAAGCTTCGCGATCGCAATCCCTTTCACATGTCAAATAATTGTAATAATTGCGGGAAGTTCGTTAACATCTTTTAAAAGTCATACTGAAAAGGATTACGATAGATTTTAAAATTAGACAATTATAGACAGTAC